GGCCGTGGCATCATCAGCCCGCCTCCGCACCGGCCCCGGGGCCTCGTCCCTCCACAAGCTGCTCCCGGCGAGCCCAGCCACGCGCAGCGTCGCCACGTGTCCCGGGAAAGCGAGGCTTAGTGAGGACCGGGTGCCGCTCACACGCCGGGGCGGGGGGTGCCTGGCCGGCGGGGGAACGACCCGCGGGCTGGACTCCGCCTCGCGCGGGGCGTGCGGATGTCCGGCCCCGGTGTCCACGAATCGTTACCGGACCCCTACCTGCCGCCTTTCTTCCCGCGTGAGGGAGGGGGTGCGCCCAGGGCCACGCCGCCGCGCAGGGAGCTGGCCAGCGCGATGGGGCGTCACAGGACCCCGGCTGCAGCGCTGATGTGCCCTGGAGACGGCGGAGGGACCGGGCCCCGTAGCTCGGGGGTTGAGTCACCGGTCGGGTTCCCGGTGCCCGGTTGCAGGCCCGATCCCCAGCGGGGGGCGTGCAAGGGGCAGACCATCTGCGATGCTCTCTCGCTCTATCCCTCTCCCTTCCTCTCTCTAAAAGTCAACAGAAACATTTTTAAAGCAGAGCGAGGGGGCAGGCCTTCGCGCGGTAACGGAATGGCCCCGCAGAGGGCAGGGGCGACGGCTGGTGGGAAAGGGCCTGAGGCCGAGACGGGAGGGTGTCCAGGTGCGGACTCCGCAGCGTGGCCAGCGCGGGGTTCCTGGCAGCGGCAAGGGCACCGTCCACGGTCCCAGAGACCCCGAGCCAGGGACGAGCGGGGCCTTAGGAGCTCGCCCGTCACATGGCCGAGAAGGAGGGACCGCAGGGGCAGGCGCGCGCTGACCCCGCCTGGAGGGCGGGCGGTAATTCCTGGCCCCACAGCGCATTGTAGCTTTTAATGCAAAGCAGAGGCTGTGCCTGTCCCTCAGACCCGCTGGCCTGGCGAGTAGTTCCTGTCCACCTCCCTCTGGGAGGGGCGTCTCCTTCCAGGTTGTCTGCCTGCTCCTCTGTAGGTGACTCCTAGGCACGGGTCCTCTCCTCTCTCCTCCAAGCTCAGGTCGGCCGTGTCTGCATGGACTGGGACCCTGTGGCCCTGCCCTGCAGGCTTGCTCCTCCGACTCCCATGCGCCTCTTAGTCGGCGTCACTCCGAGTGATGCCTTCCTGACTGCCTCATGCCCAGTCTGCTGCCAGGCCCCGCCGTCCCCACGGGGTATCTCCCACCATGCCTGTCCCTGCCCCTGTCCCTTTGCACACTTCACCCTCAGACCAGGCACTCCTGAGCTCCTGCAGCCCAGCGGAGCCTTCTCCTGGATCCGAGCCGTCTGGCTCTTCTCTTTCCTCCCGGTCTGTCCCGAGGCAAGCGGCAGAGTGATCTCAGAAACGCTGCTTGGACCGTGGCGCTTCGCTCTCACATAGCACCCTCAGGGACGTGGTAAAGTCCAGACCATTGGGCCGTCCTCCAGGACCCGGCCTGCGTTTCTACTAATTGCTGTGTCCAGCTGTAGGCTTTCTGCTCCCTCCTATTTATTCTTGCTGTTTAAACGGAATGCCATCTATCCCTAACGCTGTCTACAGAATCCTCCATGCCCACCCAGAGGTCCATTCCTTTTTGAGTTCTTCCTGTACCCACCCATCTTCCATGTGTCGTTGTTTGAATCACACCCCTCTTCTCTGCTAGGACGCGAATGTCCTCTGAGAGCCTTACTTCTGCTAAGTTCCAGGCACAAAAGCATCTAATTTTTTAAATAACAAGATGAAGATAGATTTAATCTAAAAGACTTGCAGGATTCTTACTTTATGGGAAAGTGATTAACCTAGGAAATGCTAATTGGCAAAATGTTTTTGAAAACTTCGAGGGGAATATTGTTCATTTCTAGATTAAATTATTTGGTGAAGAAGAGAAAAAGCTAAAATCAAATATTATTTAGCAACCATTATAGGGAAAATAGTGTAATGAATATTAATCATTAAAGTGCCTTGACTGTTTATTCTCTGTTATATACAGGTCCGAAAATTTATAGTTTTAATTCTGCAAATGATTCTGGTGGTCCTGCAAATCTGGATAAATCTATTTTGAAAGTAAGTACCAAGGTTTTGAGTTACTTCAAGAAATAATCCCATATATATATGTATGTATATATATGTATATATATATTCTTAAATAGGAGGAAAAGATGGATATTTTAAATTTTTATAAGTAGTACACTAGCTGCTATCTATACTAAATAAAGTAAATCATACACGTGTGTTGAAAGCCAGTAAAAAATTAAACAAGGGTGGGGAAGAACCGAAGATGGCGGCATAGGTTAACACCAGAGATTGCCGCCTGGAACAACCAAGTCAAATTAAGCTTGATCCAGGGAAAGGACAACGTCCAGAGCCACAGGAGGGCTGGCTGAGTGGAAATTCTACAACTAGGAGTAAAGAGAATATTATATCCAGACTCAGAGGCGGCGCAGTGCTGAAGTGAAATTCTGAGGTACCAAGGGCGCGCGGAGCGGGGCTAGAGGCGGCGCGGACAATCGGGAGGGAGTCGCAGCATAACTGCTCCCTCCCTGCAGATCCCCAGGGACCCGCTCCGCCCAAATCCTGCGCGGCAGCGCCATCTACTGGATAGCGCAGGCAATTGCTAGCCTAGCACCGCCCTAGAGATCCAGCACAGAAGCTGCCCCACCGCAGACACAGCTGATTCTCACTGACAATTGGCGGGGAGGTCAATTCCTCCCAGTGATTCTACAGCAAACAAGCCATAGCTACAGCAAGACGGTGCACAGGGCCCACAGGGGGGTGCACCAGGAGGGTCCACCTCGGGCGGCTGGGGAGGCTGAGCCACTGCGCCCTACAGGACACCTAGCACAGAGGGCCTCTCTTGCAACACAGGGAAGCAGCCAAAATGCGGAGACAGAGAAACAGGTCACGATTGGCAGAAATAGAGGAAAGCAAACGATTGGATATAGAATTCAAGGCCACGTTTATAAGGTTTTTCAAGAATTTTGGGGAAACCGCCGATAAATTTAATGAGTCTCTCATTTAGTATAATGAGACCATGAAGGACATGAAAGAGGACCAACTAGAAATTAAACATACACTGACTGAAATAAAGAATAATTTACAGAGATCCAACAGAAGACAAGAGGATCCCAGGAAACAAGATAAATACAAAGAAACAAAACATACCCAACCGAAAAAGAAAAAAAAACAAAAGAAAATCCAAAAGTATGAAGATAGTGTAAGGAGCCTCTGGGACAACTTCAAGCGTACCAACATCAGAATTATAGGGGTACCAGAAGAAGAGAGAGGGCAAGATATTGAAAACCTATTTGAAGAAATAATGACAGAAAACTTCCCCCACCTGGTGAAAGAAATTGACTTGCAAGTCCAGGAAGCACAGAGAACCCCAACCAAAAGGGATCCAAAGAGGACCACACCAAGACACATCATAATTAAAATGCCAAGAGCAAAGGACAAAGAGAGAATCTTAAAAGCAGCAAGAGAAAGACAGTCAGTTACATACAACGGAGTACCCATACGACTGTCAGCTGATTTCTCAACAGAAACCATGCAGGCCAGAAGAGAGTGGCAAGAAATATTCAAAGTGATGAATAGCAAGAACCTGCAACCACGATTACTTTATCCAGCAAAGCTATCATTCAGAATAGAAGGTCAGATAAAGAGCTTCACAGATAAGAAAAAGCTAAAGGAGTTCATCACCACCAAACCAGCATTATATGAAATGCTGAAAGGTATCCTTTAAGAAGAGGAAGAAGAAAAAGGTACTCTTGCCATTTGCCACAACATGGATGGAACTGGAGAGCAGATAAATACCACATGATCCCACTCATTTGTGGAATATAAGGAACAACATAATCTGATGAACAAGGACTGATCCAGAGACGGAGAGGCATTGATTGGACTGTCGGGCTTGGGAGGGAGGGGAGGGGAGGGTAAGTGGAAAGCGCAACCAAAGGACTTACATGCAGGCATAGAGGCCTGACCAATGGACACGGACAACGGGGGGGAGGGGGGTGGAGGGTGATGCGGGGACAGGGACACACATGTAATATCTTAATCAATAAAAAATATATTAAAAAAAAAAATTAAACAAGGGTGGATGAGTGCAAACTCCTAAGCATAGCATATCCTTTCCAACCTGGCTTAGTGTACCTTCTCCCTCCTCTTCACTGCAAACATGAGTTCACATCTCCTGTTCCCCTAAATCCCACATGGTTTTGAACGGCAGGCTTTTGCCTGTGGGCTCTGCCTAAAATGCATTTGTCACGTCTGTGACCTTGGTGAAGCCCTTTCTGAGGCACCAGGTTGACTTTCTTGGAGGTTTTATCAGCACTCCACATGTCTTTTTTAATGATTGCCGTGCTGGGTCTCAGCTTCTCTTTATGTATGTTTCCTGTGCTATTCTGGATTCCTGAAGCATAGTTTTGTGCTCAAGTCGCAGTAGGCATTCAGTAAAGATGTCATAAAGAGGGGGGATTTTTGTAGGTAGATGCGTGTGTACTCTTAGGTTAAAAATATGGACACAACAAAGGA